GGGCTTCTCTTGAAAAAAAGTGCCTGGAAATTGCAAATGGTACAAACCATTACAGTGAAGTGCTAACTAATGCAATATTAAAAGAGATGTTTTGCAGACACATTTGAAGATGTGATTGTACTGTTTGAGCTATTGTCTCTCCTGCTATGAACCATCTCAGTATTTTAGACTAGCAGAAGCAGCACTTTAAAAAGTACATGAATCTCTTGTCACTCCAAGCTATTCACTGCACTCCTGAAGGAGTCCCCCACTCTTATAATATTCCAAAAAATGGCAAGAGCCCATCTCTTCCACCAAGAGCTTCATTGTTAACTTAATTGATTTCAGTAAGACTTACTCTAATGTTATTTCTGGATTGAATACTAAATTGCTTTAAAAAAAATTCATTCTTTACCATGTTTTATTGTTCTGCCATTTATGTTGTAAGCCATCACTTGTACTTTTAACAGTTGGAAATTATTTTAGAAAGATACAATAGAAATGTAATGAAGTAATTTCCAGCACCTTGCACTTCTTATATGACTTTATAGGCTATGCAGTTTGTGTGTTTTAAAAGGAACAATCCAGATTCTTGAGGGCTTGAAAATGATCACAGAGCTATTATTTTGCCTTTTTCTTAAGAATTGCTCATTGGCAGATTAATTTTAAGTCATATTAGATCAGTGTTATCTGTGATTACATCAGATCAATTGAGCCTTCTTAATGAAAGCTAAAATGTTTTCTATTGCAACCAAAGTGCTAATAACAGTTCTGGGCCTAGTGGTAGATTTTTATATTTATACTAGGAATTTCTTTTGGTAAAAAAAAAAGAACATGTGAACAAGGTACATAATAATATATGTGGTAAAATTTAACTAATATAATTTGATGAAATTTACCTATCATAATTTGATAAACAGAAAGTAGAAATTGACTGAAAGGCTCCCCATAATAATAATATTTATTATTAATAACAAGTTTGCTTAGTAAATAGACTGAATTCACTTTTTTCTGTCAATAAATGAATAAAATCTTGAAGTAATTATCGTAAAAGTACATAACCATAACAACATTGGCCAAACTGAAGAAAAATAATAATTCCTGAAGTTGTGGCTCCTATTTTTCTTATATTTATTCAAAAGAAAAGATGAAAAACAAACCATTGTAATAAATTCCTTATTCTAGATTTCAGTATTTTCAGCCTATATTTTGTGTTCCATAAGTAGCTATTCTCAAACATTTTTTTAAATGGGATAAACTCTGTTTTTCTAGTTTAACTGAAAAATGCTATGCATCTATTTTCATTGATATTAGTGTTCATCTTTTACCATTTTCCTTTTAATTTTGACTTATTAGAAGATATATTGTACATGTATGACAAATAATATATAAGAAATAATTAGCTGTACTCTTTTGTAATGTAGTTTTGTATTTCTCAGCTGGCAGTTGAGAGATATAAATAATTCTTGAAGTAAGTAGTTCATTATATATACATATATGGTACATTTACATACACATAACAACTGTTCTAAATACAAAATTAGTCAGGAATTTTTTTATAGTGAATTGATACCTCACTAAAATCCAAGCACACACAAACAAGGTGGGCAGTTCAAAGTAGTTGGTTCGATAATCAGATAGTCAAGAATTTTTTTTCTAGGGAAAATGAGGGCTAGTATTTGCTCTCCTGCTATATTTAGAAGAAAAAAACTGAGCTATTGGAAAAGAGGAAGGAGGGCAAAAGAAACAAGTAGGGCAATTTTTCATACATCCTAAACAAGATACATTATTATTGTTTCCCACAAACAAAATGACTAGCTCCTTTAAATAAAAAGAGAGCCTATGTTTATGAGAATACAAAGCATGACAAAGAATTGAATGAAAAAGTCTCATGCTTCATCAAAATCTGCCTCACAGTTTCTTCAAAGTGTTCTTTGCTGTCAAAGAGGCTTCTGTTTGTCTCAGTTCTCCTTGGCAACCTTAAGGATTTCTTTCTCTGTTTTTTGGTGGTGTCTCAGAGCTTACTTTACTGCTGAAGGCAGTGGAGAAGGGCATCTACAAGAAAGGTCAAAAAAGTCATTATACAATTTGTAATGGAAGATGGTTTTGTGTTTTTTTGTGTGTGTTTTGTCTGTTTGTGTTTATTCAAAAATAATAAAAATCTTTATAAAAAAAAGTCAAGATGGCAGCTGGGACTACACAAAGCCCTGTGCTTTTTTAAAGTGTCTCACTTGTAAGGAACATACAAAAAAGGGTCAATGTTTCCATTGAGCACTCCTAGCCATCAGTTTGACATTTCTGATCAAACCATGGATGCTTTGAGGTGGAAGTCCTATTGCTGTTGTTTTCTGTCACACAACTTTCCATCACTTTCTCTGAAGATCCACCTTTTCCAACCTGCAAAAGTTCAGTTGGAAGAGTCCTTGTGACATCACAGTCTAGCCATGAAAATCTCACTAAAATTGTCTCTTTCTTCAAAAGAAATTTCACAAATATTTTTTCCTGAATGGCAACTGACAGAAAAAAAAAGAGAGAGGTATTTTTCTGCACAGCATTAAAACAAAATCTTTAAAATTACAGCATATGGCTTCTATCCTGACATCTCTCTTATGGAGGTTTATCTTCTCCACAAAAATCAAACGACTATTCAAATCTGAAGAACAGGCACTTTTTATTGCCCAAGGAAGTAAGAAACAAGACATTTTTTTACAATGGAAAACCTGACTCAGAACCAGAATTAAATCCTTTAAAAGTGTACATTTAATTAATTATAGTTTATCTGCCCCCTTTACGTATGAAACTATCCTCAGAATGATTTGCATTAGAGTAAAGAATTCTTTAAGAAAACAACTACAGTATCATGCAACTGATAAGACAACAATGTACTTCAAAATAATAAGTGAAGATTTCATTTTGTGCCTCTCCTAACTCAGAATTACTCCACCGGCTTGAAGGGAGCAGATGTAGTATGACAGAAATATTAGATTTATTGTACTATTGAAACTCTAGCCTGCATCTCTACTCCACATGCTTCATTGCAAAAATTTTGTTTGGTTGCATTGCAACCAACTCTGCATCATCTTATGAGTTTTATTGGGTGTTTCGGAGCAATTCTGTTAGCCACCCAGATGATCCCTAAATTGAAGAAACTGATCAAGGCATCAACAACACCAAAAGTTGTATTAATAGAAAACTCTCCTAGAGAAATGAGAAAATAAGAGCCGAGGTGGCGCAGTGGTTAAATGCAGCACTGCAGGCTACTTCAGCTGACTGCAGTTCTGCAGTTCGGCTGTTCAAATCTCACCGNTAGGAACCCACCTCTGCTGTAGTCCATCTACACATAGTCCTTGGATTATGGCCTAATTTGCACCAGCATTTCTGTGAAGAAGTCAATAAGCGAAATATCACGTGACCATGCGACTTAGCAGTCACAACAGTACCAGTTGTGGTCATTAAGTAAGGACTGTTCAGTCATAAGGTGAGATCCTCACACCTCAGCATTGCAGAAACTGCCTCGACTTCAACTCCTCCACCCACCTATCTATAACCCATCTCTGGCCTTTTGACCATCTCGTACTGCATGGCCGATACGAAGAAGCCACTGTATTCTGCTGCCACAACCCTCAATTAACCTAGAAATCCTTTTAACAGAAGGAGTGGAAAAGGTTCAACCCACAGAGCTGTCCTTGAAGTAACCCAACAGTCACAGGTTGGGAAAAGAGCCATTTCTTGGCCACTGTCTTCCCCACTTCCTCAGCAAGCAAGGTCAGGAAGGGCCAAACATTAGGCTGGATGCGTAAATAATACCAGTTCCTGGGACCCAAACAAATCCCTGTGGTTGCAGGAATATTGCGATAGTTATAAATGCTAGCTAATCACCAAGTATCGAAATGTTGATCATTTGACTAGAGCAGAGGTGGTCAACCTTTTGATACCTACCGCCCACTTTTGTATCTCTGTTAGTAGTAAAATTTTCTAACTGCCCACCGGTTCCACAGTAATAGTGATTTATAAAGTAGGGAAGTAAATTTATAAAGTAGAGTTACAGCAAACCCCTACCGCCCACCATGAAAGCTGGAACGCCGACTAGTGGGCGGTAGGGACCAGGTTGACTACCACTGGACTAGAGGGATTCTGTGGTGGTTGTAAGAGTACTGACCGTACATCAGTTTTTTCAGTGACACTGTAATTTTGAACAGTTGTTGAATGAATGGATGAACCTGATGACTACCTGTATAGTGAAGAGAGTATAGTATTCTAGGGTGTTCATTCTGTGACCTTAATAAAATAGAATTCTTTATTGGCCAAGTGTGATTAGACACAGAAGGAATTTGTCTCCGGTGCATAAGCTCATACAATAATACTGATAGATCATTATAAGTATAATCCTTATTGTCATTGTACTTAAATACAACAAAATTGGTTATCATATTATCATAGTCTTTGTAAAAATACATTCATCATAAAACATTAGATACAACACTTAGTGATAGTCATNAACTAAAACTCATTGTCTCCTAGTGATTGACCCAAAGTCACCCAGCCAACTTTCATACTAAAGTGGGACTAGAACTCACTGTCTCCTGGTGATTAACCCAAAGTCACCCAGCCAAGTTTCCTGCCTAGGGTGGGAGTAGAACGGATTGTTTCCTAGTGATTGACCCAAAGTTACCCAGCCAGGTTTCATGCCTAAGGTGGAACTAGAACTCACCATCTCCCGATGATTGACCCAAAGTCACCCAGCCCACTTTCATGCTAAAGTGGGACTAGAACTCACCATTTCCCGGTGATTGACCCAAAGTCACCCAGCCAAGTTTCATGCCTAGGGTGGGACTGGAACTCATTGTCTCCTAGTGATTGACCCAAAGTTACCCAGCTGGCTTTCATACCTAACACAGAACTAGAAATCCCAGTCTGCTGGCTTTTAGCCTAGTTCTCTTTCCCTCTCTCCCTCCATACACCCCCCCTGCCTTTTTGGGACCGCTGAGACGGACGCCCCCTTCTCCCCTTGCCGTCTCCAGACAGATGCCGGGACGAGTGCCGTTTCAACGCCGTGTGCGTGATCCGCCGGGGCCTCGCCCGCTGCTCCTGCGAACGAGTCATCTGCGATGGCGCCTACCAGCCCCTCTGCGGCAGGGACAGCCGGACCTACTACAACGACTGCGAGCGCCAGAAGGCGGAGTGCCAGCAGAAAGCCGCCATTCCAGTCAAGCACCGCGGACCTTGTGGTAAGTGAGGCCGGACGGGGACCCAAAACGCACCCATTTCTCTGCCTCCACACAGTGGGCGCAGCTGACAGAGGTAAGTCTGAATCCCCGCCCCCCCTCGGGATGAAACACAACCTGTCCTGCTCTCTTCCTTCCTTCCTCTCGGTACTTCGTTCCCTGCTCTCCTCCTGTGGCTTCTGTCTCTGTTCGTCATCCTTTTGTCCTCGCGGGGGATTTCGGAAAAGAGTGTTCAGTCCTGTCCATCCTCCATCTTTTCATCTCTCCATCTCTCTCTCTCTCTCTCTCGCTTACCTGCTTGCTGATTCCTTCCTCCTGCCAACGGCTTGGGCATCCCACGCTAACCTCTTGCACCATCGAGGGCGGGCTCCTTTTAACACATACCTTTCCATTCTCCAAATCTTTCTTAGTTTGCAGGGTCTGAATCTTGGCGGTGCCTTTTCTCCCTGGGCTTCAATCTGTGGAGGTCAGAAGTGGAGGCACGCAAGGCAAGGTCATGCTTTCCCTAACAAGCTCAGAACAGGCAGCTCATTGGCCCAAACACGGGAAGGGAACAAAGAGGATATCCAGCTGGTTCAATTTGTCCTGTTTATTTTATGTCCCCTTTCCCGTTAACTTTTGCCCATTTACAAATCCGTGACCAATACGAACATATATATGCTCCTGCGACCCAAACACACACACGCATAAATAAATGTGTGCGTGTTTGCGTGTGTGTGTTCCAGCCTAACTCTGGAACGCCTCGCGCAATTTCAACCAAACTTGGTACACAGATGACTTACTCTCTGGAAACAAATACTGTGGGGGTAAGACAGTCCTAACACCCCTCGGGGCCTGTGTTCTGTTAAGATACAGCCTGTTGTGCCTTAAAAATGGCTTCTACTGTGCTGTCGTAAAACGGCTTCTACTGTGCAGCATTAGTGGAATTGCCATGGTAACGGCTTCACAGTACTCCACAAGGGGGCTCACTCTGGAAAGGGGGGAAATCCAACATTAGAAATTACATTTGGTCTGGACCTTTTCCCCCTATAAATAAATACCCACAACGACATGAATAAATAAATTGCAAATCGTTAGCCCGTTCATCACATCTCTTTTTCCCGCATGGAATTTTTAACTGCAGACTCCCGGGACCAAGGAATCTGGATTTTCTTTATACAAGGAGTCCTCGACTTATTTAATGACTGTTCAAAGTAGCAATAGCCATAGCAGTTAGACTTATATACCGCTTCATAGGGCTTTCAGCCCTCTCTAAGCGGTTTACAGAATCAGCATATCGCCCCCAATAACAATCCGGGTCCTCATTTTACCCACCTCGGAAGGATGGAAGGCTGAGCCAACCTTGAGCCGGTGAGATTTGAACAGCCGAACTGCAGAACTGCAGTCAGCTGAAGTAGCCTGCAGTGCTGCATTTAACCACTGCGCCACCTCGGCTTACGACGGTATCGGGAAAAAGTGACTTACAGCCGTTTTTCACACTTGGGAACGTTGTAGCATTCTTCCATGGTTACAGGAGTAAAATTCGGACGTGTGGCCGCTGACTCATATTTATGAGGGTCCAAGGGGTGTGTGTGTCATGTGATGATCCCCTTTTGTGACCTTCTGACCAGCAAGGTCAGAGGGGGAAGCCAGATTCACTTAAGTTAGTGTGACTAATTTAAGAGCCAAGGTGGCGCAGTGGTTAGAGTGCAGTACTTCAGGCTTCTTCTGCTGACTGCAATTTGGCCGAATCTCACCAGGCTCAAGGTTGACTCAACCTTCCCTACTTTCCAGGTCGGTAAAATGAGGACTCAGATTGTTAGGAGCCATAAAACTGACTCTGTAAGCCGCTTAAAGAGGGCTGTAAAAGCACGGCGAAGCAGTATATAAGTCTGGCAGGGGTCGGCAAACTTAAACACTCAAAGAGCCATTTGGACCCGTTTCCCACAGAAAAGAAAACTCTGGGAGCCACAAAGGTCCTAACCGGAAGCCCCCTCTTCAATTCTGGAGCTGACCGGAAGTTCAGTTCCCCCACCATAGAGTCTCCTCCTAGCGCGGCGTACTTTTTCCTCTACCCGTCCTAACCGAAACCCCTATCAATTCTGGAGCTGACTGGAAGTCTGGTTCCCTCACCATCGAGTCTCCTCCTAGCACGGCGTACTTTTTCCTCTACCTGTCCTAACCGAAACCCCTATCAATTCTGGAGCCAAGCAGAGGTCCGGTTCCCTCACCATAGAGTCTCCTAGCACGGCGTACTTTTTCCTCTACCTGTCCTAACCGGAAGCCCTATCAATTGGTGGAGACAACTGGAAAACCCTCCCCTTGCCATAGAGTCTTCTCCTGGCGCACTATGCTTCTCCCTCCCCACCCACCACTGGAAGCTCCTCTCAAAATTGTGGCGCCGACCGGTGAGGGAGCCACAGCAGAGGGAGGAAAGAGCCACATGCGGCTCCAGAGCCGCAGTTTGCTGACCCCTGATCTAAGGGCTATTGTTGTTAAGAACCGCAAAATGTTTCGCTTAGCAACAGAGATGTTGGGCTCCATTGTTGCTGTTTAAGTCGAGGACTATCTACAGGAACGTGTGTCTGAAGGAAATTCCATGCCGGAAAAAATCAATTGCCAAAGATGCCTTCGTTTAATACGGACTCGATTCGCAACCATGTCAAAAGGAGAGTTAGCAACTTCATTTCTACAACATGCAGATTTGATTACTTGTTAACCCTGGTGAGGCCTGCCTGCTGGGGATTTAAGTCCGTGGTCGTGTGTGTGTGTGTGTGTGTGTGTGTGTGTGTGATGCGAACCCACAAAACGAGTTAAATCAGTAACTGAATTAAAATCCAGTAGCTAAACCACAGTAATACGTTTTTCCACCTCCTCTGAACATTCACAGGGGAGAAGATATGATATTATCTCTCTGAGGAGCATCCAGGAAAAAAAGAGAAAGAAAGATAAAAACTCTTGTTTTTCTGGCTGACTTAAAAAAAAAAAAAGTCGGGTGCGAAAGGAAGAAGGAAATTAATCTCGCCTGTCTGGCGTGCAGAAGCAAAGCGGATTACACATCACACCGCAAACACACTCACACTGAAAACAGTCAAACATTTGCATCGAGGCAAATAATTCTCCAGTAATTTTTCCACCACGATACATCTTTTAATCTTCCCAAATCGCCCCGAGATTCTTCGATGGGAGACATGAAACAATTGCAGGTTTGATTTCACGAACGGTCTCCTCGCCAGAGTATGTATTACAGAAGGGCTGCTTCTATTCTCGCTTCGGCAGTTCCAAAATGCTAGTTTTGGGGAGGGTGGGTTTAAAACCCTGGTTTTAAACCTGCCCCTTCAGGGTTTAGGACCATGATGGGGAAGCTATGGCATGCGGGCCAGAGGTGGCACACCGAGCCCTCTCTCTCGGCACACGTGCCGTTGCCAGTTGCTCTTCTGCTTTCTGGTGCACGTCAGCCAGCTGATCTTAGTGGGCACTGGGGCATTAGAAAATGGCCTGAAAACAGCCAAAAAATGGGCTGAAAACACCCCGAAAAACTGACCATTTTCTGGTATGTTTTCTGGCTGTTTGTCGGTCATTTTCGGGCTGTTTTTCAGGCCAAAAACAGCCTGAAAATGTCTCGAAAACCACCCCCAAAACGGCCAAAAAACAGGGATGTGCACGACAGCCAGCTGATCTTTGAGTTTGGGCTCTCAGTGTCAAAAAGGTTTGCCATCATTGGTCTAGGACCTTTGGTCTCATACCCTTGGCCGCGCCTCTTCTCCACCAGGTGATTCTCGTCTGACTTTTCTCCTTGGATGACACGCCCCCCCACCCATTCGCCCTCGGCAATGGGCCACAGCCCCTCCATCCCACGTCTTTCATCACTGCCCATTCGCCGACGGAAGGTTCGTCCTGGGTTTTTCGCCGGCTGGGACACTTAGCCGCCAACCCATTGCCTAGCTGCCAATGCCGGCAGCCATAAGCCACAGTGCGGCCAATCACAGCATTGATGCGTGATTTGCAGAACCAATGACAATTGTCCCTAACTGGTAGCATTTAACCCCTGGCCATCTTTATCCAAAGGGATTGATCGCACCGCGGCTTATGGCTGCCGGCATTGGCAGCTAAGCGATTGGTTGGCAGCTAACTGCCCCAGGCGGCGAAAAACCCAGAACGAATTCTCCTTCGGCGAATCGGCAGCGGCGAAGCGCATGGGATGGAGCGGCTGTGGCCCATTGCCGGGGGCGAATGGGTGGGGGGGCGCGTCATCCGAGGAGAAAGGTCAGAGGAGAATCGCCCGAGAAACAACTCTGGCGGAGAAGGAGGCGCCAGACAAAACATCTACATGGAATTGACAGACAAAATATCTGCATGGAATTGACAGACAAAATATCTGCAGGGAATTGACAGATGTTCAAACGAAGCCGCCAAGGAAAGCTGGAGGCCTTTTTTTCAAAAGAAAACGCCAATTCTCTGCCAGGGGAAATTAAATTGGGGTGTGCCTGGAAACTTGGGGGAAGCAGTCCATCGCTGTGTCTGTCTCTCTCTCTCTCTCTCTCCGTTCCCTCCCCTCCTCCTTTCTTTCTCTCCTTCCTCCTCTCTCCTTCCTCTTTCTCTCTTTCTTTCTGTTGTCTTGTGTCTTCTAGTGTTTCCTGTTCGGAGAAAGGAAGTGCGCCTGCCCAGTTCTCCAGATCAATCCACCCGGAGAATTCTCCTGCGAGGTTCGCTTCTTCCCTCAGCCTTCGCTTCCTCTTGGCACCGCTTGTTTCCCTGCGTTTTGCAGAGGGAGGGGATGGTGGGGGGGAGGAAATCCCGTTTTCCCCTCTTGCTTTCAAAGCCTTTTGCAAGCTGTTCCCTTGCCCGTCAATGTGTTCTGACCCAGGCTTAACAGAACCACGAGGCAGACTCCTTGCCCAAAAAAACCCCCACCCTTTTTATTTGGTTAATGCGAATTCCTGGCGTTCCCATCCAAAAAAAGTCCCTTGCAATTAGCCTTTCGGGGTTAAATTGTAAAAACAGACCTTATCAGTCCTTGGATAGTTGCCAGGTCAAAAGCTTCTAGTCCCAAATGAAATACCTGGCAAGAAATCTGTATGAGGCCCGAACTCAGATAAGTGAATCTTCACAATAATAAGCGAACTCATGGTCTCCTGCAAACTCCATTTCCCCTTTTGAGGGAGGATTTACGGTCACAGACCTTATCTGGCTTGGAGAGCTGCCAGGCCGATATATGCAGAACTTGACATGGAGCCTTGGGGAGTAAGGAACCAATGAAGTGAACTAATGGTCTCCTGCAAGCTCCACTCCCTTTTTGCTCCTTTTATTCCCTCTGGGAGGGGCCATTCACCGTCCACCTGTGGCCTTACTCCCAAGTCGATCCCTGTTCTTTAGCTCTTCCCTTCGTCTGGCCACTCTGCGCATGCGCACACTGAGAACGGGCTCCAGCTGTTCTACTGCCCATTGATCTCCGACTCCGAAGGCAGCTGATAACTGTCAGATGGCCCTGGCTCCCCTCTCTGCCTCCGACACAGAGCCCTCATCAGAGCCTTCCCCAGACTCCAGGACTGGCCCAGTTTCCTCCCCAACCTCCTCACTGTCCGACTCTGCAGCCATCTCTTCTGGCAGCTGGCGGGCCACAACAGGATGCCCAGATGGCATGAGTGATGGTGGTCATGATTTTCTTCTCCTTTGTAGGGGTCACAAAGGCTGAAGCCTTCTCCTGAACACGCACGATGCATTCCTACAGCATTTTGAGCTTGGGGTCTGAATTATCTCATCTTCTGGGTTCGGGTGGCATCAAACTTGAGAAATGAGATGATATAAGACAGGGGAGGGGAAATTGCCGCAAGGTTAAGCCTAATCTAAGGAGGTTGGGAACACATACCATTGCCTCTTTTCACTGGCCTGGTGAAGCCTGTTGCATGAATACAGGTAGTTCTTGAATTACGACCGCCATCGAGCCCA